TTCTTTGCACAGAATTTTCGTTCATATTTGTCAAAATACTTTTTCTGTATCTTGTAATGTTTTCGACAGTCATATAATGACGTTTTGAATATCCATATGCTTGGTCATTCTAACACATACTTGGTCTAATGCAAATGTAATGGGCCAGTTTCCACGTAACCGGTGAAAACATGGGGCAGGGGGGGGGGGGCAGTGGGGTTCTACGGGCCCCTTCCTCGAGTAAATTGTTAATAATCGTGTGCAGAAACGATCGAATCTGACGTCTTCTGGCAGGCTACCAGTTACAACCTATCAGATCGAAATACAGCTCAGATCATTAGAATCAACCGATTCCGTTCATTTCGACGTAGCATATCGAACAAAAATCTCGAATCCTGTTAATATACAATTTCATCGGATATATTCAAAAATATAAAATCTTATCATGACATAGTACGGAAACGTGTCTTAACCGAAGTATATTGTGCGCTGCTGCGATCTAGCAATAATATCTATAACTACCTAAAAACATCTACTGTTATTGTTGTTTACTACAGATTTAACGTCCAATACAATGAATATGATATTATGTCCATACTTTGTCCATACGGTTTTTATAGTACGCCCACATTTTCATGTGGACGTATATTGTTGTCGCCCCTGTCCGTCCGGACGGACGTCCGTCCGTCTGTCCGTCTGTCGTCCACAATTGTTTGTGGACACTCTACAGGTCACAATTTTTATTCGATTTCTACGAATCTTGAAATATAGGCTTATCTCCCTAAGATCTCGATTCCTTTCGATATCGGCATGTACCGGACAGTAACTTCATTGATTATGGCCCCTGATTGTACTAAAAACCTCGTTTTTAACTTGTGGACCCTAAAGAGGTCAGAATTTTTATCTGATTTTGAAACAAAACGTTAGAATATGTCACCTTACACCATATTGTTGGTTGAGTTCGAATGTCATGAAAATCGGACCAAAACTGCCAGACAAAATGGCCGCCCGTCAACGCAAATAGTGTAAACATCTGGTATATCAAGGTTGTGGACCCTCTAGAGCTCACAATTTTCATCCGATTTTGATGAAACTTGAAATGCATGTTTATAACCCAAAGATCTTGGTTGCTGTCGATATTTGTGCATATCGGATCTTAACTTCCTGAATTATGGCCCCTGATTGTACGTTGAAATGCATATTTATAACCCAAAAATCTTGGTTCCTGTCGATATTCGCACATATCTGATCGTACCTTCCTGAATTATGGCCCTTGATGTTACGAAAAATCGCTTTTTGTTTAGCTTGTTCTCTATCCATCTCTTGAAAAATGTGGGCGTATCCTGACTGGCAGCCGCTGGTTATGAATAGAAGCAAACTGCGCGAATCCGCACTCAAGTCTCCACTCACTAACCGGAGAAGAGCACGAGTTGGGATCTCCCCCTTCTAAGCAACCAATGCCCAAACACATATCATTTGTTAACATCAGTGAAGAGTTGAAGCGAGAAGAATGGTCAGTCTCATTGCCGGTGTACGAAAAACATTTTAAAGGACAGTCAGCAAAAAAATAAGAGCAGCGGGGCTTTTGCCGGCAGGTGGGCATTTGCACCCATATCCCCGCCGTTTCAACGCCTGTGGGCGAAAACGCGTACTTGGAACACGAATCAAGTATCAAATCAATGTATCCAACATACAAATTTATCTAACATCAAGTAATTTAGGGTAAAATATCATTAAAATGGTTCGAATCACGAGTGGACCGAAAGACTACTTTTGGAAAGTTGAATGACTTCAACAACAGTGGACAATAATACTTGAACGTTGATATAAAATAAAAAGTAAATACAGACACTATACTAAAGGTACACTGATCATCACGGGGTTTGCTGAAGTAACACGTGCTGTATAGATCACGAGGTCTTGCACTTATGACAAGTCGAGAATTGGATTCCACGTTTGTACGACGACATAAATTCGTTTTGACTGCAAAAAACAAAAATACAATCCTATATAAAAATTATAAATTTGTATTTCTTCGAAAAAGAATCACAGGCTACGGGATGAGGATAGGAGTTTCTGGGAGTCTTTGAAACATAATGTATCCACTAAGATTTCTCCGAGATTGGTCAATAGTCCTACCCGTCACTTTTTTGCATTGGCGCCTGTATTTTAATACAACCATGTAAAACAAATTATTATTGTGCTTGTAAAATTGATGTTTTGAGAAAGTTCCAGTGTATCTTTAAATTAAAAGAAAATTTTATACGCGATAGCCACTACAGATTTTGACGGATAACTTTAGTTTGAAGCATTTGGTCATGAGATGACAAGTCCTACCGATATTCAGCGTTTTTTGGACTTCCCTAGCAGAGTTACCCCCCTTTTTTTTTATCGAGAACGTTATGAACGCAATTGTTGTAATGCGAGGACGAACACTACTGATATTCAGCGTTTTTGCCAAAAATTTAATTTATCTCCACTTTGCCGAAAACCTTGTGAACGCGATATAGGCTAGAGTTTTTAATTGATTTTTTTCTAATGATAGCAGAGTTACACCCCCCCCCCCTTTTTTATCGAGAACGTTATGAACGCAATTGTTGTAATGCGAGGACGAACACTACTGATATTCAGCGTTTTTGCCAAAAATTTAATTTATCTCCACTTTGCCGAAAACCTTGTGAACGCGATATAGGCTAGAGTTTTTAATTGATTTTTTTCTAACGATAGAGGGTACAGTTTTAACATCCTTTTATACGTCCCCATTCATAATATGGACGTATATTGATGAATGTGGACGTATATTGCCGTTTCCCCTGTCTGTGTGTGTGTATATGTGTGTCTGTGTGTCGCCTACAGGCCACAATTCTTAAGTGATCATCTTCAAACTTTACATACTTATTCCTTATACCCTAAGGATGATCCCTTTTGTTTTTGGTGCATGCCCGAACCCCAGGGACAGAGCCACGCCCATTTTTTTATTTCTTTGTTTGTCATCTACAGGCCGCATTTCTTAACGTATCATATTGATACTTTGCATACTTATTCTCTGTACCCTAAGAAACATCCCTGTCGTTTGGGGTGCATGCCCAACCCCCAGGGGCAGAGCCACGCCCGTTATCTTTTTGTGTGTCTGTGTGTCGCCTACAGGTCACAATTCTTAAGTAATCATTAATTAAGTAATCAAGTATTATTTTTGGTGGCAGAGCCACGCGCATTTCTTGTAATCATTGTTTGTCATCTACAGACCGCATTTCTTAACGCCTACAGGTCACAATTCTTAAGTAATCATCTTGAAACTTTATATACTTATTCCTTATACCCTATGGATGATCCCTATTATTTTTGGTGGCAGAGCCACGCGCATTTCTTGTATTCATTGTTTGTCATCTACAGACCGCATTTCTTAACGCATCACCTTGAAACTTTGCATCCTAAGGAACAACCCTATTGTTTATGGTGAATGCCCAGCCCCCAGGGACAGAGCCACGGTCATATTCTTTTTGTGTGTCTGTATGTTACTTACAGCCTGCAATGCTTAATCGATCATCTTGAAAACTTTTTTACACTTATTCCTTATACCCTAAGGCTGACTTCTATTAATTTTGGTGCATGCCCGACCCCCTGGGACAGAGCCACGCTCAAAATTTGTGTGCCTTTTGTGTCGCCTACAGGCCGCAATTCTGAACAGATCATTTTGAAACTTTGCATACATATTCCTTATACCCTAAGGATGCCCCCTGTTGTTTTTTGGTGATTGTCGAACCACCGGGGCAGAGCCACACCCATTTTTTTCTTTATGTCTCTGTGAGTTGCCTACAGGCCACGAGTCTGAATGGATTGTCTTTGAATTTGGGATATGTATTCCTTATAGCCTAATGACGACAACTGCATGTCCCGACCCCCAGGGACAGAGCCACACCCAATTTTTATGTTTATCGTTTACAGGCCGGAATTCTGAATGGATCAACTTGGTACTTGGGATATGTATTCCTTATAGCCTAAGGGCATCAACTATTGATTTTGGTGATTGCCCCGACCCCGAGTTGCAGACCCACGCCCAATTTTTGCTTTTAGCGCCCAAAGGCCACAATTCTGAATGGATTATCTTGGAACTTGGTATACTTATTCCTTATAACCTAAGGACGGCAACTATTGATGTTGTCAATTCAATAACAGGATGGTACCTATTTATATTGTTTCCATATCCAACCCCCACGGGCCGAGCCACGCCCATATTTTGTATTTATCGTCTACAGGCTGCAATTCTGAATGGACCATCTTGGAACTTTGCATATTTATTCCTTATACCATAAAGACAGCAACTATTTATTTTGATGCTTGCTCCGACCTCCTGGGGCAGTGTCACACCCATTTTTTGTTAGTATTGTGTCTGTAAATTTGGCGAAACAAACCCGACGCCTAGCCTTCTTTGCCTCTGATCATATTACAGCCATTTCATATTTCATTCCCTTCATTTTAAAAAGTACAATATCAACCAAAGCTGGAATGTGGGCGTAGTTAATGCGTTTTTATACACCTATATAACTCAACTGTCAAACATTTAACGAGGGTTGGGTGGTCGAGTGGTCTTTAGATCATAAGATCTGTCATTGAGTCAAGTTAATTACGACATGCCAAGGAGTAGGATCACCTGCTCAAGATCCGCCCTCTCCCTATTCCTAAAAACCCCTATATACAAGCGCATTATGGAATTAAACATTAGACCATATTCGCGACATAATCTTATTTGTGTCGAGAGAATGTAAACCCACCTTTGTCAATCAGCCCAAAGTGTGCTATTAAATAAGCACAGATGTCATGGACATCGGGACTTCGAATAAAGACTCATGAATAGTTTGTTTGATTTCAATCTAAAAATTTGCAGTAGGCTAATGATAGAAAAATGGCATTGGCATTTCAGTTATGTGGAAGTTTGATATAAAAAGGCAAATGGGTAGCCTACCAATAAAGAAATATATTAACTTTTTAACGCGTGCCTTAAAAAAAAAGATGAAAATCACTAGATCCGTAATGTTTAATTTTTGATTTCTTAAATTTCAATAAATACAAATATTACACATAATATAAAGTAAATAAAACAGTATTTTACATTAAATAAACATTTTATATATTAATTTGGGGATATAACGTTGCTGACAAATCCAAACTTGATCACCACTACTATATTTTAAAAAAAACAAGGTGTAATGTACAAGTTGGCTCGTACTAAATAAATGATTTTATAAATCTATGATGATTTAATGGAGTTATATAATTGTCTAACTTTGCTAATTACTTTTTTTGGAAATGTCCAATAAATAATTAGTATACTGTAGTGTTAGATACAAAAATCTGTCAAAACTCCGCATTACCTGCATCCGGGTTAGAGTTCAGGTCAGGTATTTTATTGTTGGATATATTCTGAAATCGCTTATGTAGTTGTCATAATATTGAACACAACACAATGGACATATTAATACACTGGTAAAGATGGATGGGTATTTACACATTGCAATACAACTTACACTTTCTTTATTCTGCACGAAATGCTCCAGAGCTTTCGGTGCATAATGAATCGTTTTTACCCAGACTCCTAATACGAAGTCACCAGTTCAGATTTTCAGTGACGTCATATGTCTAGTAATCCGTAGTTTAGTACCCATCAATAGTCACGAAGGAATCCCTCTCACCCGAGCTAATTGTTAGTTCAGTACGGTTGATAGTACCTTTTAATTCCCAGGGGACATACCTTTAGACATCATTGGGCGTTCGTGGAAATACATCTGACATTTTAGCGTTTCAGAGGCTAGATCTCAGTTCTAGGCTCGTGGAACTCAGACTATAGAGACATCATAGAGTCACAGTGGGATTGGGATGGGGATGGGGTTTGGGGTAGCGTGATGTGAAAAATATATTATTTCGAGTTCTTAGAGACTATACATTATAACTTATCTATTATTTTACTAGTAGTTTCTTATATTGGTGTTATGTAAACACAGATCGTAGTTTCACATTGTTTATTTAGCTGCTCTGACATAAAACAGTGTTACATTGTTTGTTTGTCTTGGGGTTGTTTTTTTTTTTGTTTTTCTTTGGGGTTTTTTTTTGGGTTTTTTGTTGGGTTTTTTTTTTTTTTTTTTTTTGGGGGGGGGGGGGGGTCCCGCGGCGCAGGATAGTGTCACACAATGCTACCGTGGTGTTATAATGGCCAACTGGTTCCGTGACCAGGATAGTGTCACCGGGGAAACAGGACAATAGTGGGTTAATAAATATGCCACAATCGAGTCTTATTGAGTATTAATGAGGCATTATCATGTTCTTACCAAGAAAATAAATTTAATTAAATTTGTATAATATATTCAAAATAACCTTAGGCTCTTTTTATAATTACCAAAACTCTGAACACTGACCTGCTTAGAGTAAGACATTGTGTGCGAGCGTTAGATATAAATGAGCAAAGGGTATACTACTCCGAAGTTGAAAGCTAAAACGTTTATATCTCAACGATGGCTTGTATTTTCGTTCTATTAATATTATAAACATGAATGGTTGCGCCTAAAGAATTATTTAATAAAAGAAAGCCCCCCCCCCCCCCAGTCTTTTGCTTGGGTTACTATAAATACTATCTTCAATAAGTAATGTGCACTACTTCATCGCAACTGAATCAAAGGATTCGCCTTTCAGCTTATGGGTTGCTTTCCGACATGTATGTACCAAAAGAAGAAACTCTATCACCACTAAAGCTATCAAACATCCTGTGATTGCCCAAAATGTGTTGTTGTGCTCGAGTGCATCTGAAAAATATGAAAGTTAAATTGTAGCTCGTCAGCATTTTAAGAATAAAACACAACGTTAATAGCAGTATACCTGCACAGTGGTTACATCATCTGCCATTTGCTCATTTCTCAATATTTAATAGACTAAAAATGCCCATTTTATAATTTTGCTGAATTTTGTTAATTATCAATTCAGATACACTAGGATATAGCTTCCAAGAGTCTCTCACCCAGAAGCATCCCCATTAGCATTAGAGTCTACATTTTTTATCTGATTGTGATGCAGCTGTGTATGTGACTCTATAATCATGAAATCTCGGATGAATTAGTTATTGCCCCTAAGCAGCTTCTGAACACTTATGAGTCTACATTGTCCATCACATATTACTGAAACTTTATATGTTGCGAACGGGTATATTGGAATTTCAATGTGATTTCTCCATTATTTGAGGAGTTACTTCCCTAGATATAGTCACAATGCGACATTTCTTATATTTTCATGCCGTATATCCAAGAAATCTCATTAGGAGATCTATGAGATTTTGAATCTGTTCTCCGATAATTCTGTTTTAGTATCACGTAAGAGATATTTAAAAATGAGAAAAGGAGACCCATTGTATTTGACGACATTACTATGACCCGGTTTAAAGTTTTAAAAAGCCTGTGAAAATCCGCTGGGTACTTTCTGGGGAAAATATGACGTTGTAAGAATAACAATAAAACACAACGATGATAAGAGGGTTACTGCACAGATATTACTTCACCTGCCATATGTTTATTTCTGAATATTTTATAGACTAAACTATTCTCATTACAGCTATTAAATTTTCAGAACAATTTGGACTAGATTTGTTACAGAAGCACTTGGGGGTGGAGGCATTCGATTGTCTAGCTGAAAGTTTATATGTATGTTAATAATTATTATATCATTATTAATCTATATCTAATCTAAAACATATATACTAACCTAAATTATCTAGAGCTTTAACTATATTGTGTTCGTCGCCATCGTTGTCGCCATCTTCCTTTATTGCCGTATTTCTATTTTCTGGAGCCGGAGTACTGTAGTCAAAGTTTCCACATCTGGGAAATCCTGGTGGAGGTAAAGGAATCATTGGAAAAGAATTATTGAGGACCAGTGCCATTCCATCCATATTATGCAGTTCTATGTGACAATGAACGAACCATAAACCTGGATTATCTGCAATGATTCTAACTACAACGTAACCTCCAGTAGGAACAATGATGGTGTCCTTTCTGGGTGGGTTCTCTAATTCAATACCAGGCACGTTACCTCCAAGCCATGACGAATTAGCCCATGTTGCTGCGTTGCAAAAACTCAGTTCCCGGTCGGCATTTCCTCTGCAATTGATATCCAGATTGTCGCCAATGATTTTACCATTAGTGCCATTGTACTGTGCATAGCCCATTTTCAAAACGTAAAACGAATAGCCATGCATATGAATAGGATGGGAAAATCCCTTTCCCGCACCCATATTTAAGAAAATCATTTGATAAACTTTGCCATTTTCTAAATCCAAGGAATATGGACATTGACACACTTTCTCATCTCCACAATCGTCTTTACATTTCAAACCGATTTCTTGGGGTTGAGTTAGTGCAGATACAGGCGGTTTTTTGAAAGTTCTGCCATTTACGGCACCGGGTTTCCAAGATATTCCAGGAAAAGCAAAGTTAAGAAAATGTTCTTCTTTTTCACTAATTGGTCCTGTGGGAGCTGGATCAATTGCTTTAGATTTAAGTTGGTCAAAAGTAACGCATTCGGTATTTGATGACGTAGGATAGAAAAGAAATGGACAATTTACAACCACGCATTTACTTTGTAGTGTGCACACTTTTCTCGAAGTGCTTGGGTCTACCTCCAGTGCACCATCGTATCTTAGGATAGCTAATCCAAAATGGTCAACGCCAATTTCAAGAGTTGTAGCTCGTATCCAATAATTGTTCACGGATTTATCTGATTGTATTCTGAAATCGAACCTTTCGCCTGGGTTGATTATAAATGATTCTGCAGACCTAGGTTGAAGATCGAAGCCATCAGATGCAATAATTGTTAACTCATGATCGTCAATGGATATTCTAAAAGGAACTTGAACACCTACAGCGATGACGCGAAAAATGAAACTAGCATTTTGAGCCACAGTAAATACTTCCAGCGGCGCTTCGTTGTGTTTGCCTGTTGGATCATAATATCTACCTTTACCATTTATTAAAGCTGATTGAAACCGAAACAAACTGAACTCGGCGCCGTCCAGAGAAAAGGTAGGATCAATTGGTTTTCGGTTAACGAACATCCCATCTTCCTCTTTTAATTGGGCAAGGTTAGAATCCCAGTCATGATTCCATTCAGTAATTGTGAACACAAACTCCCTTTCCCTTAACTGTTTCTTTTCTCTGATAATTAGGGGTCCATATGGGCCCATCGATCTCATCAACCCTATGTGGGTATGATACCAATACGTTCCTATTTGCGTAGCCTTGAATCGGTAGGTGAAACTCTGCCCAGGCATTATGGGACATTGAGTTATGAAAGATACCCCATCCATCCAAGGGCTACCCCTTTGTGGTAACCCATGCCAATGTATAGTCAGTGACTCACTAGGTAAAGAATTAGTAACATGGACAATTATTGTTTGACCCTCGTAGACCTCCAATGCCGGACCAGGAAACTGTCCATTAACTACTATAAGAAGACGGGGATCTTCCCATCCGTCGGCAGTGGCAACACCTTCGGTGGGGATTGGTTCCGCTCTACTTGTGTTCACTACATCATATTTATACAATTTGCCATCTTTCGGATATAATGCTGCTCCATCTTTTATCATTGTCATTTTGTATTCAATATCGAACCAGAACTCACACTCATCATCCGCCATAGTGCATGGTGTATGACAGGAGACTTGGGCAACTAATGCGACCAGTAATATATAGAAACCCGCCATTCTGAAATAGAAAATTTATTTATTTAGTACTTAGTTTAATTGGGTGGTATGCTGGGGGTTATCGGATGTGTACTATCTGCGTCTCTGACGCAAACAGAACTTGCTAGGACGCAAAAATATGGAAGGACGCAAACTGAAACTGACCATAATGTGAGGGCGATAAAGTTGTTATTCAAGCGGACGGAGACACGGTGGCTAAGTGAGTAAGACGCTGTCTCGCTAGTCTAGAGGTCTTGGGTCGCTCCCGATGTTAGCCGAGAAAGTTCATCAGGATTGTCCGTCGTGATTTCTTCCCCTTGTCACTGGTGCAGGATGGAGGGCCTGACAAGGACTTCGGATGGGACGAAAAACCGAGGTCCCGTGTACACATTGGCGCTCACGTAAAAGATCATTCGATATACGAGTAGACAGGAGCAGACTGCATTGCGTATGCCCGTCTTCATTACCCCAGTCGGAGCAGAACAGTAGGGCATTAAACCACATTTCATTTCATTTCATTTTTGCAGAACGAGCGGACGTCTTGCTGGGGATGTGAAAATGGTTCTGTAGACATGATTGTCTATGGGTGTTCTAAGAGGAAGTTGAAAAACTTCAGCAATGACGCCAAAAATGTCATTTAACTTCTATGGTTGCATTCTTATGTTGGCCTGTGGATCCATGTCTACCTTCATGCATTTCGTCTCGGGTTTGTGTTTTAAAAAGTCACCCGTAATAAGAAATGTCAATAATTAACTATACATAACAACGCGACCAACTCGCTAACCAACAGCGGTGAATCCATCCCATATTTAAAAGATCTCGATTGTAGTCTGCCCTGTAGCAACCCCCTAGTGTACTAAAATTGTTAGATATAATTATTATTATTATACTGGACGGGTTTTGTTTTTAGATTTTCATGCAAATGGTCATTATATCAATCATTTTGCAAAATTACATTGTCATCAAATTGTAGCACATATCTGATATGTAGGTTCATTGGTAATACTTAGTGCATGGGGATCGCACCACACACGAATAAGTACACAAGACAAACCTACGGACAGGACACAATATACAGACACCACATGCAACAAACGCACATATCAGATCAAGTGAATGGTTCCGGGGGCTAGCCGTAAGCGCCCACTGCGTCGTTGTACGGGATGTTACGTCATTTGCCGTTTTGTTGGTGATAGATTGTCTACCAGTACCGTACATAGCAGTAGTATCGCCTGTCCAACCTCGTGGGTTTTCTCTGGGTCCTCCGGTTTCCTCCCAATGCATATTTGGTATATATGGAAAGGCATAGGGACAAACAATCATACTCGAAAAATACTCAATTCCCTGGAAAAAAATATGGGGTAATTACAGGGTATCACTAACTGCAACCTGTCGGCTTACTAAAGATTGTCAGAACGGCGAGACTTAAACGAACAGAAGACTCTGTGATTCAACAGCAGAATAGAAGTTGGGAAAGGTTAGTCCGGTAATTTACTTAGATATTTATGGCAAATGGGCAGCAAGTAACGATAAATACAACCTTACAATGGACCCTTCCTCGATTAAATCACGTGAAAAACAAGACAGTTTAAAATAGTTTTAGGACTTCAAAAAAATTAATGCCGTTCATAAAAAATATAATACGACAGATATAGCATGATCAATAACATAGGACAATAATTTACAAAAAAAAGAAAAAAATAAATAGAAAAGCAATTAAAAAGATTTATTACACTGCATGTTGAATATATTTTCTGGCTTAATTTCTTAACTCGATATGATCTTTACAAATTAGATCGACGCAAACTTTCCATAAACTTATTTGAATATGATTTAGTATATATCCCCAGTCACACAGTTTGTACGGGGGAAGACACCTTTAAATAAATATGATTGCTTGGATAATTGCGACAGACACAAAGCATCAATAAGTTATCATCGTTTATCATTACCACAGAATAAATCCCACTAGAAGACCCCTAAAATTAAAATATATGGCACGTGGCTACGGACAAAATATGAAGTACATATTATATACAATGAAACGCCGGTAGATCTGAACATTTATGGACATACCATATAGGTCTCTATAGGGCTTATGATAAACTATGTTGCTGTCCTCATTTACCCCAAAGGCCCAGTAATGTACGGTTTGGGCACATTAGATGGTATCCGATTTCAACTTATATTTAACCGAACATTCACATAACTGTCCAAGTTTAAGCCAACCGAATCTAAATAAATGTATTTTATAAAAGCCGTATAGCAAGCCGTTTGTAGCAGTATTGCTCTTGAAATTAATGATGGCATTATATTGTATTAATTAATATCTTTGGCAAATTAATAGATTCACATATATGTACTTAAATCAAGTTAGCGAATGAGTGGCATATTGTTACATAAAAAAGAGGCACAATGTGGTCAACATTCAATTCTAAGTTGATAACAAATATCTGGTGGTAAATATTTCTCTAGTAAATTTCCACAAACCATATAAGGGTGGGTTTCGACGTCATTTGGCTCAATTAACCAATCTCTCTAATTATTTACATCGTATTTGACCTATCAGATAATTGAAGGTCTAAAACCCAAAGCTACAAAACTATCATACTTGTGAGAATTCGTCACACAACAGACAGATTATGGAAAGGAAAGGATGTATAACAATTTCTATCAGCAGACTCGCCCAGTTTTTAAAATCGGATAAAAAAAATTGTGACCTGTATAGGTTCCACAAGCTAAAACGCGTTTTTGTTCAATCAGGGGCCATAATCCAGGAAGTTACGGTCCGATATGTGCCAATATCGCAAGGAATCAAGATCCTTTGGTTATAAACATACAAGTTCAGTTTCATCAAAATGGGATAAAAATTGTGAACTCTAGAGTGTACAATCAGGGGCCATAATCCATGAAGTTACGGTCCCATATAAGCCAATATCGAAAGGAACCGAGATCTTTGAGATATATTTCAAGTTATGACCTGTAGAGTGTCGACAAACAAAATGTGAACGGATGGACGTCAGGATGAACGTAGGCGACCGCAAAATATGTTCTCACATCAGAGAGTAGGCGTATAGACACGTGTCATCGATCAAGTGCCGGGCGTACTTATAAACAGACCAGTGACATACAGCAATTCGATTTAAAGGCTCAATACCACTCTTGTTGTAACTGAATAATATATCCCAATCTTTATTCTGATCAACAAATTGTACTATTTTACAATATTCCAATTAATTGGTGATATAAATTTCATCTTAACACGCCTAATTTAAAAAATTGTAAATATTCAACTAAATGATTTGAAAAGCCTAACGTAAACCTTTTCAAATGTGACTTGGATTTTAAAATATTTTCGAACCCTCTGGACAAGTAAAATAGGATGTAATGGATAATTTACACAGCAGGTAGGACACTTAAACATCTAGTACTTAGAATAAAGCTATTATTTATTTTCTTGAGCTGTCAAGCCAGCAAGAGTGTTATTAAGTGGAATTCTTTATGTAGGAAATAAACCAAAATTCGTGGACAACAAAATAGATAATATGGAAAGAGTAAATTCTACACATGGACAAATATGTGAATTCAACATTCGGTCATGTGACATTTCGATAACAATGAAGTTTTAAAATAATTTCATGTACTGTTATTTAATTTGTTCAGAGAATAAATTATCCCAAAATAGGCCTACATGTTCATTTTTCAGATAAGTGTCTATTATTGGTAAAACTGTCCATTATTTTCGATAAATATTGGACAGTTTTATAAATAATAGACGATTGTTTAAGAAAAGCGTACATTCTCCTATATACTGGTATAAAACATCAAAGGGTGACGTCATAATCTATGTTTTAAGCAAAGACAACTCATAGACTGGATAATCTGCTCTAATACGTCAGACTCGCTCCTACGTCACTCCTTTTCTGACTTGAGAAGTCAGACTAGCGCAGTGACGTAGGAACCAGCCTGACGTCATTTAGAGCAGGTTGTCCAGTCTAAGACAACTCATTTACATTCGCCATTTTGGGTACCAACTATGACGCCATAAAAACTATGACGTCATGGCGTCATGTAGCTTTACTTAAAAGGTTTTATTTTTTTCTTGGTATAACGTTTTACGAGCCACGATTTATCCTAAAAAAAATTGCAAAAGAAAACCGATGCAGTTTAGTTCAATGATAAATATGTCAGACAAAATCATACTCAAAATCGGCCATGACAAAATGACATAATTAACAGAATTCAATTTGGCGTTCTTCAGGAATTATCGGAGAGCGATATTATTATTATTATTATTACAACATATTTACAGTGCGCCCTTTCATATAACATGTTCAGGGGCACTTTACAAACTGCCAATGTAATCATAAATAAACAACGAGATTATGGACATGTTAACGATTGTATACAGAGTCAGTTAAAAGCCTGATTAAATAATCAGTGTCTTTCAGTGGTGGGAGGATACATAATTTCTTTTTAAATTCCTCAAACACGGAGTAGTTATGCAAGCGAAATGTGTCGAAAAATCGAATTTGACAAAAATCAATTAAAAAATGTATTTTTCATTTAATGGCGGACATTTCTTTCAAAATGACTGCCAAATTTGGTAATATAATACCATTTATAATAATAATAACATTAATTTGGTAATAATAGGGCAGCAATAATCTCAAAAATTTAATTTCGAGAATTCTTGATGGTAGAAATTCAAAATAGCCGGCAAAATGAAATTCAAAATGGTGGAATTTTAATTAATCGTCATTTCTTTCCGTTGGGTATGACTTGTAATATGTGGTATATTAATCTCGACACAAACTAGGCGATTTCGGGACTAACATATGGTTTTTTTTAAATTATATATTTCAATTATTCGCTTGCGAGTAGGGGTCTTTAGCAGTGGGAGGAAACTGGAGGACCCGGAGGATCCGGAGAAAACCCACGAGGCTGGACAGGCGACCCCACCCCTTGTCACGTACAACCGGGGATTCGAAAGTTGACTCAATGATAGGCATTATGATACAA